CGAGCGCGAAATCCAAGAGGTCCAGTTTCGGGCGTCCTGTCACAACCGCGCAGGAATTTGTCGGAACGATGACGCGTACGAGGAAGAGTAGACGGGTGAGCGAAAAGGTGAGTAGTCCCGCAACGTCGTCGCTTACTCCATTGACTTGAGAAACGCAGACGATCTTGACGGTGTTCACGGCAGCGTCCAGAGGCAAGGGCTTGAACGACAATAAGGCCTTGACGGACTCGCTGAAATGAGCATTAGACGCGTCCCTGTCGTGAGTTCGTTTGTTTCTAGTGACTGTCGCTTTACTGATACCACCGTTGTCAACAGTAGTCACACCGCTTTCTGTTTCATCCCCATACGACGCAGTCGCCGTCTTCAGAATCCAGAGCATCCCATTCTTGACTAATTGCGCGTCTGCGTCAACAGCTCTCCGTTCGTCGTTGCCGTCGAGGTCGCGTTGTCGTGTACGCTCCAGGTCAGCAATGTCCGTTGACCGTACGATTGTGCTGAATAGCGTCCAAGTAAAGAGACCCAGTACCGAATACAGACCGGCAGGGGCTTGAAACGAGGTGAGTAGCAATCCGTTTGTGCTGGCCTTTTCGTTCGCAGACGAAACGTCGCCTAGCGCAAGTCCGAACCGAGACGCCGTCGGCGCCACCTGTCCCTTAAGCCTAACGACGCTCGCAATTGTGGAATCCTCGCGTTCATCCGTGACTAGCTTGATGCCGGGATGAAGCGGAGGACGAGGCGTGGCGAACAGAAACAAGAAACGCGTAGTGAGTAAAGATTCCTTTCTCGACGAACCTAACTCATCTATGCCTGTGCCTAGCAGCCTAATCCTCATTGCGCTCTCCTTGTGGGACGCTCGAGGCGGAGACTTTGGCAGTGATAGAGAGGGAGTCGCTTTGGTGAGTATTCCGCTGTTGGTGTCCGAGTTGGCATATTCCTGATGAATCCCAGACGAGCCTTGTGTTCGGTGATCATCGAATTCAAACGTGCCCTGGCGTATTGACGGAGCGCGAGCGAGAGATATTAATGACACCGATGAGCCCGTGAGTGGTGTTTCGTCGGATCGCTCCACTGACTTAGCTGACGCAATTCCTTTTCTGTCCAGGTTCAATGCATGTCCCGGTTTCAAATCTAAACCTTCGACTCGTTCCATCGCGCGGCACGAAATCACATCCAACGCCGTCGGTGAGAATTGGACGGCCGACGTTTCATGTAAGGTTAGAGTTTCTTCATTGACGTTCGGGCATCGCTGATGCATACCGTCCAGCCCCCCAAACTCGACCGCGGATGAAGCCGTCGGATCTATTCGCCCCCCGGATCCTGCCCTTGAAGGACTCAGTTCAGGGAAGCCCTGACGCGAAGGGGTGGATGCGAGGTGGGGAGAAGGAATGGGTGTGTTGACCACTCCCATGTTCGTGTTTACGACGTGCCCTCCTCCTTCCTCCATGCTCGGCTGCGACGGCCGACTTGCGTACGTCTCGTCGGCGCGGACTCGCCCCCCAAGCTGACTCACATTCCGAGTGTCGGTGGCGTTAGAACAAGACGTTGCGAGGAATCCAGAGACGGAAGGTGATGAGGTGAAATGACCAGGCTCCAGTTCGTCGGAGGTGAGTCGATCCGCTTTGTCGACGTTGATCAGTTGCTGACGAACGATTTGCCCCCCAAGCTCCATTGGAAGAGAACTTCCATGCCGCCTCCTGGAATCAACTGCGGCTCGTTTGTCAAAGCTAGGAGGAGCGGAGGGTAGAGGAAAATGGTGAGACGGTGAAGAAGTCGCATGATCGTTTCGCGTGAGTTGACTCGTCGTGTCGTCAATCACAATCTGATCAATGTTCCGCCCCCCAAGCTCTACCGTGGATTCTGACGACGCAGAACAGGGAGCGGGAGACGGGGAAGAGTTGGAACAACGAGAAGGTGGAGAATGTGCTTTGTCCTCGCGCAAGTCCAGCTGGGAGAGGCTTCGCCCCCCAAGCTCAACCGTGCCTTGGCGTTTCGCGCAAGAGGGAGCGGGAGACAAGGACGGAATTGAAGGTGAAAATGAAGAAGACGTGGAGGGCGGTGATGCTGAAGACGATGTCGAACAGGCGAGTTGATGCAGTCGTTTTCCGCCCTTGAGATTTGCTAAGTGCTCCGTTTTCAAGTGTTGTATCCTGTCGTAGATGGATACATATCCCTTGCAGTCTTCGGCCTTGACGCCAATGCCTCGCCTCTGCCCCCCAAGCTCTACTACATCCTGATCAGCGACACGGGGAGAAGTGGGAGGCAGAGGAGGAAACCAAGGAGCTCGGCAACTCCCCGCAAGTCGATCTCTGGCGGTAACATCAAACTGGGCAAGCAACGTTTGAGGGAGCATGACGCGGAGATCGACGGGAAGAAACTTGATGCAGCTACCCAGACATGAAGGGCGAAGTGAGGTGGAGACTGGAAGGCCACGGTATATAGCTTCAAGATCCATCGTAGCACCATACAGCTTGTCGAGGAGGAGAATCCAGTTCAGAACGACTTGATGACGAGTTGCTAGTATTCCTGTAGGGTTACATAGCACCCGTAGCTCCTCATGAGCGAATGTTTGCGAGCTGTATGCTTTGATATGTGGGAAGGCAAGATCGAGGAGCTGTCCGAGCGTCGGCACCACATTCTGAATAGCTTTGACAAGTTCTGGGTGCAGCATAAATCCACCATGCCGTAGGGAGATGTGGGATGGAAGAAGGACATGCTTGACGATGGAGGAACAGGTCTGCTGGAGTGATAGCATTCCAATCTCAGGTTGGGGAGACGTAGTATATTTTGACCAAATGAAATCCAAAGTGTAAGGGTCCGCCATGATGGAGGGAGATCCAATGAGATCCAGCCAGGGGGTTACGACAGTTCCCAATGTGTCCACTTTGTAAGGCTCCAGGAGCGCTTACGAGGGTCACTGTCTAACGGTATCCCTGGCGGGAGTGGAAAAGCCTTATTTTGTGGTGAAGACCCTTTCTTGAACGGTCAAGCTCGCAGAAAACTACAGAGAGTCGAATTCTCAAGCTCTCAGGCGTAGTTCTCTTCAATCCTTCGAAAACGAGAGGACTGGAGTCGACTGAGAGGGTGATCTGTAAAGATCAGTGGAAACAGCTGTATAAGTCAGAGAAGTAATGCCTCGCGCCTAGAGCCTCAATTAGAGCCTAGGCAAGGCAAAGATACGACTATCCAGCACCCGTGCCTCTCACAGAGCTTCGGAGTTACTCAACGAAAGCTAAGGAGGCGAATTGGGTGATTTGGTAGAGGTAAAGATGATAATGATCATGTGACCTGAGTACATGTGACTTGTAGCTAAAAGAGTAAAGAAAATACGTATATGATACCTTACACCCGCAAGGTCCAGGCAGTATACATGCCCCCTGCTGGCGAGCAGCTGCTGGAGGATGAGGAGAAACGGGACAGCGAAATTGTGGCGCCAAATGCGGAAGAGGTTAAGATTTACCTGCCATCTGAATTACTGACGCGAAGGAGGGAGAGTTGTGGAAAGCAACTGCGCGAAAAGGAGGCGCTTTTGCGGCGGGGGATGCTCAGAGACTGCATCGCAAAATTGTGTCGGTCGCTGCTTGCGAAGCACCCATGAGGGGGCTGTTGGGCAACGGGGAACAACGAGGGCTGCGACATTGGTGCAGCGGGTGCAGGAAAGAATTGACTGGGTTGCGAAGGAGTACAAACGCTCACGAGACGCGCTTGTGGCGTTGGTGGAGGTAGAGAGAGTTGCGGCCAGAGGACTTGCGTGTGGAGGAAGAAGTGGAGGAGGACACCGGCGCTCGACGAAGATTGGGCCTAGTTGGATCTCAGACACGAGAACGTCGTATTTCCAAAGCCGCGGGGAAGAAATCGAAGGAAAAGGGCAAGAAGAAGAAGCATAACAAGGAGATGTCTTGGATATGGACGAGCGGAGGAGGACCAGGTGAGGAGGAGGTAGAATTGAGGGACGGTATGTAACAGCCGTGTTTTGAAGTATTCATGTGCTGACAAACTGTATCGGTGCGGGTGGAGTGGTCGAAGGCAAAGGCGCGGCGGGATTGTTGGGCGGAGGAGGTAGAGTTATTGCGGGAAGAGATACGCCGCGTCTTGAGATTTCTTGCATGGCGCGCGGGGTGGTGGGAGGAACGGGTTCTAGCGAACCGAGAGGTGAGAGAGGACGTGAGGGCGGGGATGCGCGCGTATGCCGCGCGTCAGGCCTCAATGGTACGGCAAATTGGGCGGCGGTTCAGGAGCGCTTGGGACACTTCAGCTTCAGAACCAGTTCGGGTGGCAGTAGAGGAAGACAGAGCAAGCGAGGATTTTGTGGAGCTAGCATTAGAGCTGTCGTAGACACACCAAATATTTAATTGCCATTTCGAGCAGCATGGCGTTGTTGTGCCCAAAAAGGGTCGCTACCGAATATAGGTTCTCCTCCGAGACAGGTGATGGCCGACAGTTTCTCCAGATCACTGATGCAGGTGTTGGCCGTGAGTGGCGCGCTGCGAGAAATGAGTGAGCATTAGGTTCTGGCAGGGACTGGCTAGAGACAGGCGAGAAAGGTAAATAGAGGGCTTATATGGTTCACTCAGAGCCTGGCTAGCAACGGGCAAATAAACAATTTACACTTTGGCTAGAGCCAGGAGTGTAGGTTATTTTATACTTCAACTGTTGATTTATAACTACAATTGCTTTAAGTAGAACCATAGCAAACATGAAGTTCGATGTTGAACTTCAACTTCGCAAACTGCGAGTGGTGAACCTGTGGATTGTATCTGCTTGTTCTGCTTCTAGCAGGAGCCTCTTTGCTTTTGCTATATAGTGTTCTTCCTACCTGCCGATACCTGGCAACACGTACGTTTTCACTGAGCAGACCAGCTGATGGCTGATTGCATCACAGTTTGCTGCAACCAGTAAATAAAAGGCAACTAGCGAAGTATAGCATCTGTGTCTATGGTCAAGTTCAGCTTATGAATGAGAAATTCACAGAACATGTATTTTCTGAGCTGAAAATATCCAGCGGCTAGATGGCTGAGTGGTTAAGGTGCTAGTTTCAGGTTTTGTCTCACCTACTAGCCTGGATAGGTGTGGGTTCAAATCCCACTCCAATCATGTACTGTTGATTGAACTTCTCAGAGGATTCATATTGAGACCTTCGTTGACTGAGTGCAAGTCAAGCTCATCCAGATTGGTAAAAGTATCTGTAACTTCAAATAGATTTTCCTCTACATAAAGTCATATATGTATGTACATAAAGTCATAATAAATAGTACATGCATGTGAAAATTCTCTAGCTTTGTCAGGGTAACCTCCGCTCCGCTCCCTCCGGCTCGGACCGCACCTGCAACCAAGCTTGTGATTACTGTCGGGCCAACTGTGCCCGAGTCATGTGATAGTTGTAGGGACTATATAGCTAGACTCCTGACGTGGGAGAATCCATTCCTGTCTTCTCTTTGGATTCTCCCTCGTCACGTGAGTGCCTGTACTATCGTAGTGTACTTCTATTTATCTTTGGATTCTCGCTCGTCAGGACTCTTGAGTCAGCTCGAGCCTTGCGGTTGCCCTTACAAGCTCGATCTTCTGAGTCAACATCTACCTCCATTGGTTCAATATACTCAAGCAAGCTCAAGTCAGAGGAAAGTGAGCTAACCAAGAGATCTATACACACCTGTGGAGCTATAGCAGCTACCTCATCAGAATCACTTTCGAGGTCGAGCTTGTTTATTGGTGGAAGAGCCAGTTGCAGTTGTCAAGCGCATGGGAACTGCTCGGATAGATGGCTGCACATCTGCTTGTGGGTGGTGGTAGGTTCTTTGTGATACCTTCTTTTCGCCATTGCACTTCTCCTCACATTTGCACAACCAATCTGGGGCCGACTGGCCTGGATCCAGTGGAAAGACATAGATAGCCATCCTTATAACTTTCATACATTGAACTACAACACACTCTAGTTCAATATCCTACACCAGAAACTACGCAGGAGACCTACCTCTAGGCGAGAGATGGTGATTGCGATAAGGTGAGGTAGTTTGATTGCCATCGATAAAGAATCTGGGAGCGAATGGCTGCTTCGAGCATTCTATTTCAAATCATGTCAATCCAACCGACTTTTGACTGGGATTGAATGGTTAACATCATAGTTCCAATGAAATTTTATATGTGTGTCGCATTTCCATGCTTGAAATTGAATGAAATCAAGACATTTATTATGGACAGCAAGTTCTCTGGTTGCGCTAGATTCCAACTCAATGTGGCACAAAACAGATTCCCTTTTGACTGCAGACAATAGATCTTGTTGACTACTGGCAACAAAACTTGTTGACACAGATGATAGACCTCAAAATGAGGTTGTAAGTCAATGTGGAGTCAAAATGACTTGCCGACTGGAATCAATTTTGAGACCTAATCCGAGCCTTTTTGAGCTCAAAGCAGGAGTTCAATTGAGACTCACAGGTGAGATTGTATTTGCCTAAGACTTCAGTTTGTATTGGCAGTGTAAGCAGACACTAATTGGGGAGTAACAAAGAAATTCTTAGAGATCTTTTGGACATTATCTTTCTGAGCTAAAATTATTAAAATGGTTGGATGGCCGAGTGGTTAAGGCGCTAGTTTCAGGTTTTAGCTCACCTTACTAGTCTGAAAGGGCGTGGGTTCGAATCCCACTCCAATCATGTAGCTCCCATAGAGTCCTTTTTGTTGTCTTCGTTGATTTCTTTTTTCTCTTTGTTTCCCTTGCCCTCTCGGAGCATCATCCTCACAAGCAAATCACTCTTGAGTTTACTGCAAAGCTTCGTTATTGTATTATATATGTACGCTAAAGCCTAAAGCCACTAGAAAACAAGTTTGGTAATACATGTAGAACCCAATTGACAACAAAAGACGACATACAATGAGTAGGTTAATTGTACAGTATTGCATGCATTGAGAGAGAAGATGAAAATGCCAAAAGAGAAACCAATGTGATATTACCACCCCCGCTCATGATAATCCGACATGTTAGCCCAACTGAGATTCCGCACAAGTTTCTTCTTCGTCCCATCGGGCGATGAATCCACTGGAGGAATTGGGTCGGGCTGTTCCATTTCAGGTGGCCGTGGGGTCACCCGTACAAGGTTCTTCTCCGGCTGACGGCCGCCCAAGCCTTGGATAGAAACCATGGCAGCGCTGGGAACATTCACAGTGCTCTTCGTCCGACGAGGCTGCGGCCCAACCGTATCTGTTCGGCTCAGTTTACGCTGCCACAGCAGGTTGTGCCGCAAGCTCTCGCTCATCTCGTTGCGCAGCATCTGTTGACGGGTGGTACGTGGGGTCGAGGGCGGTGCGGGGGCGGGAAGGTGATAAACGAAGCCGACGGGTGCGGCCGACATTGAACGATTTGGCGGTGGCTGAGCTACATGATCAGGAGCAACGTTATGTTGGTTGGCAGCGGCGGCCCATGGTACGACACCGGCTTGTTCATATAGTCGACGACGTTCTGATTCTGAACCTTCGACGCCGTTGGGACCACTGGTACCGTTGGGTTTGGTGCGGGAAAGAAAGACGCGAAGTTTTTCTTGGGCAGCACTTTGCGAAAGCTGCCCTTCATCACGACTCTTGCCTTTTCCACGCGCGTCGGCATCCGATTCGTCGTCGTCGTCGAACTCTGTTTCCGCAGGCGGACCTTTCGGCCGGTAACCTCCACTGCGTCCCGCGCTTGTACTGCCCGCTTGCACGGCGGAGCTACCGCTCGCCACAGGAGCAGCTGCACCCTCAACCAGGGCGTTGGGTCCAACGCTAACGACAGGCTGAGCAACGGAGCTTTTCCCGAACGACCCGCTCGTGCCCGCACTGCCAGACCCACCAAAGTGCGGTGGCAACGCACTGCTTGACAACGCGCGAGCCATTCCGGGGCGACGAGGCGGTGGCGCAGGCTGCTGCTTGATCGGCGGCAGTACATTTACTTGAGCAGTTGGCTGGCGTGATGGGTGTGGCTGCTGAACGGCAGTAGCAGGCGTTGGTGGAATGGGCGAGAGCTCCGCACCTCCAGCCGCTGAAGGAGGACGGGCAGAGCTCATCTGTAGCCCCAAGCCGTTGAACCCTCCAGGTCGTGCACGGAGCGAGGGAACGCCATTTTGCTGCTGAAGTTGCTGCTGCTGCTGATGATATTGCTCCGCTACACCTGACTGTGACTGGCGGCCGGAACCAAGAAGCATGGATAGACCACCAGGTTGCGCACCCCGCAAGGCGAGTGAGGTTTTCATAACTAACCCGCGGAGCTTTGGCGAAGAGCTCGCGCTGGCGCTGCGCCTCGAGCATTACGGTTGAGAGAGCTGTCGCGCTCATAGTAGCCTTCAATGCACGGGAAGTGCGAGCATTTTGCGCAGAAGTTGTGTGATGGTGTTTTGCCTGGCCACCCGCCAATGAAGGCAGATGACCAGCAGAGCGATGCGTCGGGAGCGGCCTTGGATCGTTGCCGTTGGCGTGAATTCCACCAGTGCTGCTAACACGGGAAAGCCCCAGTTGTGAAGGGGGTCTCTCCTGCAGCGCAGGGGACGGTGCCTTGGCCTTGGCAGGTCGAGGTGCTTCCATGATCTCGCTCTCATCCTCCCAATCCTCTTCATCATCCTGCTCTGTATCCTCCGCCTCTCCTCCAACACTCCCAATAGCTGCGCTCTCAGAATCTGTCCATTCACCATCCTCCTCGCCGTCCTCATCGCCATCTTCCTCATCACTTGTCTGCAAGACAACCTTTCGTCCCGTCCCTGCACCCATTGTTCGCTCCACCAGCGCTGTGGCAGCAGCTAGTTCTGACGGTAGACCAAGTGCACCGAACTGTTGCGTACCACTTCCTGCTTTTCCCTGGGCCGCTAATGAAGTGCGACCTTTCCGTGACCGCGATCGCGATTGTTGACTTCTTACAGCGTTCGCCGAAGGCTGCTTTCCTCTGGCGCGCCGACGAACCTGAGATGAGGAAGTCGTACGCGAGCTTACGGAACGTGCATCATCAACCTCTGCAGCGCTGGTGGCCGGCGCGACATTGGGTCGACCATTAACTCGCGTTTCGGTCCGAGGAGTCATCTTACGAATTGTTTGAACAAGAGAACACGAACGAAATCAAAGTAAGCTCACCTCCAACCCCAAACCAAGACTGCGAAGAGACGGAGCGGTCGCTGTGCGCGAAAGTTTTGTTTGCGATTGTGGTTGTTGCTGTTGAGTGGGTTGAGCGGCGGGCAGAGGTTGTTGCAGGGGCGGTTTCTTTAAATCTCGGGGCGGTTCTTGTATTGGTGGTTGTCTTGAATCTGGAATCTTCTTCTTCTCGTCAACTTCAGCCTCAGCTGAACTCCGTCCCGCATTCTTCGCCTGCCCACGTCCCCGCGCATCGCCGCGCTCAGTGCCGTGTATGAAAATGGTCTGCGGGTCACCGCCCTCGCCCGAGCTATTGCTGCTGCTGCTGCTTCCGCTGGAGCGAGATCTGAGCTCTTCACCGTCATTGTCGTAGGAAGTACTCGTTTCGCTCGAATGGGAGGAGCTTTGAGAACGCCTGCCTGAAACCGCGCGAGGGTCCAAAAAGAACTTGCTTCCGGTATTACGAAGATTAGGTTTCGATGCTTGAGCGTGTCCGTTGGGATGATGGCCAGGAGAGCGACCACCAAGGGGTAATATATGCGTGGACTGTGGTGCATAAGCGGCCTGTGGTGCCTGTGCATCGACAGGAGAGAAGACAGGCGAACCCATGCCTCGAGTTGCGGAGCGAGGTAAGAATAACGGACCTGGAGGGTCGCGCCTCGTCTGAATACTAGGTTCGGTGGAAGCAGGCAGAATACGAGCTGGTGGTGCGAGAACCCGCGCAGGAGGTGTAGACGGAGCAAGTAGGGGCGTGGCGGGGGGCGTGGGATGGGGGGTAAGATTAGGCGTAGGAGTCAGAACCATGATCTTCGGGAGCTCAACTTCGGGAGAATCTCGTCGGGAGCTAGGGGCTTCTTCAACGGCAATGGAGACTCGGGAGGATGAAGCGGAGCCAGAGCTGTCCGAAGAGCTACTAGACGCGGGAGTCGGATACAGACCAGTCTTCTTCGAGGCAAGTCGGAGTTCGGTAAGATTCTTAGGGAGTGCATGAGGAATCATTTCGGCAATGATGCGTCCTGCAGGTCGTACAGAGGGCGACGCTAAGTGAATCGATCAGCGAAGTGATTAGATGAAGACTAGAGATATGAATGTTTACGCTTTCTGGGAGAGATATGAAAAAAGGACGAAGACAAGGTTGCGGCAGCACGGCTGCTTGTATTAGGTTTATCGGTGTATTTTATGGCACCGGAATCTTCGCTACAGAGGGATTCCGGGGTCGGGGGGCATGTACGGTCAGGGAGACATGCTTTCTGCACAGAATCCCGGGAGGTGAGACGCCAGGAGATATTCTCGAGACGCGGGCCGTCCTGCAGCGAATTCTTGCACTTGGAGAAGACTGGCGAAAAAAAAATAGAAAGAGATGAATTCTATGAGGGATGAGAAATATGACGGGTCCACGGACCGAACCAAAGGTGAAGGGCGTCCTGAGAATCGAGTGCGTCGGCAGAAACAGTGAGCAGAGACCCTCGGTTTGTACCCATGAAGGGTGGGGGCTGTTGGTGGCGACGTCGAAACAAGGGTGACTTGCAGTGGTGGTTGTAGAGAGAGCAAGATAACTCACCCACCTCGGCCCGACATCCCTGGGCCTTGATCCGTGAGCTCACCCCATCACCTGACTTTCGTGGCAGATCACGCGGTAGCCATCAACTACTTCTGTCACGCAGTCACACAAAGGTCGCCGCGGGCTTGTTTCTACCACAACCGTCGTCGACGTTTGGACCCTGCTGAACGAGTTCAACCAGTTCAACTATTGTCAAGGTCTCAGTCTCATATCCCTCTCTTGTCTCACTCACCTGTGCGATTCAATTATTTTGTTTCGATGTCTCTGTCTCAGTCGAGGTGTTTTGTGTCTCATACCTCACTCCGCTAATCACCACCACTCGATGGGTCTAACCGCCAACCTATAATCCCGCGCACGGTCATATGCCCCGCAATTTAGTCCGCCAACCTTCCCCTTTCATTCTTCCTCTCTTCGTCTGCTTCAACTCGTGTTCTACAGCCCTGTACACTAGTGCCAGATTTTGAGCACCGATGGCACGATGCAGGTAACCACCCAGCAGCCTGTATGTAGACAGTCAATTTCAGGGACACGAGGGACGGGATCAAACAGCACATATGATTAATGTCGCGTATTCTCGCGTATTCCGGCTTTTCACGTAACCGGAACTCGACGCCAACTTGGACCCACAACTCCACACTGAGCACCAGAAACAAAGGCACCCCATCAGAACCCGTCGTTACACCACAAACAAACAATTAATATTAAAGTTATAACAACCATGTAAGTATTTGTACGGGTATGAATTAGACCAGAAACGAAAGCAAGGATTTGAACATTGACAACCGAACGCCCAGCGCTAGTTGTATTTCATGGCCAGGTCTAATCGTCATCATCGTCCTTGGGTTGTGCAGGGGGCGCGCTCGCCGCCTTCTGGATCGCATTCCGAATTGGATTCTGACTTGGCGAAATGTTCCCCGATCGCTCCAGTCGGTCAAACACCACAAATAGCTTCTCCATCTCCCTCTCCTTCTCTTCCTGTGTCATTTCCGGTTCAGGTGCGCGCTG